ACCGCACCCTTTTTTTATGCTACATACAACTGACTGTGGCAGCTGGAAATTACTTGTGGTTCTTGGAAGTACAGACGGCAGGGCCACGAGGCTTAAGCAGCTGTTGCCAAGGACACTGGGGATTCAAACTCATGATACACATGCAAGACAGCAATTCTATGCCCCTGTGCTGTTCATCCAGGCTGGCGGTTACATGTTTTAAAATCCCATATTAAATATAGGGATTGATATCTGATTAAATATCTAATTGATATTAATTTAAGCATCCTGGAGGGCCAGAGAGATAGTATAGCAGTTAGAATGTTTGCCACGCATGTGCCTGACTTGGGTTTGATCCCCAGGACTACACATATTTCCAAGATCCCCACCAGGAATGATGCCTTAGTGCAGAACAGAAAGTAAGAACTAACCATAGCCAGGCATGACCCCAGTTTCCCCTACTCCCCACACCAAAAAAGAGAGAAAAAGAAATAAGTGGGGTGAGAGACTAGAGCAATAATATCCCGGGTGTTTGCCTTGAGGCAGGTTCAATCCCTGGCATCCCATATGATCCCAAGCACCAAGAGGAGTAATTATTGAAGGCTGAACCAGGAGTAACCCCTGAGAATCAAAGGTGTTTCCCCCCCAAACAAAAAACAAACAAAAAAATTATGGTGTTACCATTATGTGAAGCTTTTTTATTAAAAAATATTGTGCCAATATTACCGGAAAAACAGGGTGTGGTGCTGTGTAGTGAAATATGGGAGGCGTAAGAAGAGCATTTTTAAAATTGTAAATAACAAACAATAAGCCCCATTCAGCCATACTTGAGTTTGTGCTAGTGAGGTGACTCTTGGCAGGACTCTACCTAGATTTAGGTTTATTTCTTGGTAATTATTTCTTGTTCTAGATCCTATATATCAATTTGAGATTGTTTAGGAGGGGAGCGGGTTGAGCTTTCCTCCCCGCCCCGACCAGGGCTCCGGCAGCCGAAGACCTCCAGGACCAGCCACCACCATGCTGAGACCACTCTCCGCACACCTGAAGGTACTGGCAGAGGGACAAAGCCACGCGGGTTCCGGGGCCGAGATCTCCAAGCCTACTCGAATTGGAGTTGAGCATCCTCCACCCAGATCCTCCAAATTCCAGTAGGCGGGGGTCACACCCACCACCTGGCCCCCTGGCGCCGTGTAATCCCATCAATGGCCAAGACTCAGAGACTCAGAGACTATAAAATCCAGCTCCTGGACATCTTATCAAGACATCTTTTTATGACATCTTATTATCTCATTCCTACTTTGGACAAACTTGCAGGCTATCGAATGTAGCCTGCCCACAGGGCAGAGTCTGGCAAACTCCCCGTGGCGTACCAAATATGCCAAATACCAGTAACAATGATGGGTCTCATTTTCCTAAAGAGCCTTGAATATAATCTCAGGGCTAGGATGAAGGAGACGTTACTGGGGCCTGCTCGAGGCAATCGACGAATAACAATCGACGAAATTATTTCGTGTTCTGGATCCTATATATCAATTTGAGATTGTTTAGGAGGGAGGTGTGGGTTCTGTATAACTCAAAGATGCTCTTCCACACTGCAGTATTTAAAACCAAAAGTTAGTCTCTCTCTCTCACAATCCATCTTAGTAAAGATTCTTTAGAAAGCTGATGGCACCAATCTGCAACATGAGGTACCCTAACACTATCTGGCTTCTGCAGTTTCTTAGGTTTGGCCCCTACAACTTCTGCTTTCTTGGTGATCAGAGAGGCCTTAAAAATACTCTCCCTTTTCCTGCATTAATTGTTACTTTGTAAGTCGCTTTAAGGTTAGTGATTGATGTTGACAACAATATGAGTTTAGTATCAATTTAAACCAGAACTCTCTTTTAATTTTATTTAAGCAAATACAAAGAATAGTTAAGAGATAATATATTTTACCTATTTCCACTCTGGAGAAACCTGTGTTCTCTTTGGATCTATGCTTCTCCCTTTCTCTCCCTCACATCTTTCTAATTAAGTTTCAATAAAAACTTTTCTTGCTTCACCAAATATAAATAAAGAAAATAAAATACAATTGCTTGGGGGCTGGGGAAGATACTTCAGAGTTCTGGAATGCATGCGTTCACAAAGGAGCCCTGAGTTCAATCCCCAGCAGTGCTTAATGAGCTGAGCCTCACCAGGAGCGACCCCTGGACACTGAGCCAGGAGTAGCCCCTGAGGGCCACTGGATATGTCCCACACCACCACCAAAAGAGAATAAAGTTGGCACCCAATCATCCATGCAAAGGAGAATTAAGTTGATTTTTAACTTTTTATTTTATAATCATTTTAGATTTATAGATATGTAGCAAAGATACTCTTTCCACATACCCTCATAATCTTAAAAAATACATCTGATATCAAAACTAAGAAATTTACATCGATACAACATTAGCTAACCTACATTTTATCTGGATTTCTCCAGTTTTCCCACTAACTTCCTCTTTTGGTCCCAAGATACTGCATTGAGTGTAGTTATCCTGCTTCCTTAGTCTTTTCCAATCTGTCACAGTTTCTTGTCTTTCGTTGCCTTTAATGACTTTGAAACATTTGAAGAATAGTTTTAAAGTATGTTGTAGACTTCCCCATAGTTTTTATTTGTCTGATATTTTCACATGATTAGACAGGCTATATTGTTGGGAAGACTGTTAAAAAGAAAATTTGCTCGTTGTCGAGGAGCAAATAATGTCAAGTGATGTATTATTACTTAGTAACCTTAATCAGTTAAGGAAGTGTATGCCAGGTGGTTCTCTTTTGAGAGAGAGATGAAAGAAGGTGGAATCAAGGACAGTTTGAAACAGATGAAGTAAGAAACGATCGAGTGACCAGGGCTTTTCACTGAATCTAAATGAAAAGGTCTTAGTGTTCCTAGGAAGTTGTAAGCTCCCTCTACCCTACCATTCATTCATTCGTTCATTCATTTTTAACCCCTCCCCCCATCCCCCTCTATTTTGCTTCTATTGATATTGATGAATGAACAGGGACAGCGCACACACCTGTTTATGGTGTTAGCACATTTTTAGGTCTGTTTTGGGGTCATGCCCAGCAACGCTTTTGTGGTGGGGGTTGCTCAGCAGACCACTTAGTGGTGGGGATCAATATTGTGGCACCCTCTTGTAAAACATGTGCTCCAGCCATCTGAGATCTCTTTCAAGCCTAGGCGTTCTGCGTGTTTTAGCTGTGGCAATTGCTGGGGATGGTGCATCAGGTCACGGTGCTTGTGGACTCACAAGGTTTGTGCTCATTTATTTGCAGGGCTTGCACACATGCATGCCATGGGTCTCACCCCACAAGTTTTTTTGGGGGTGGGGGTCACACCGGGCGATGCACAGGCGTAACTCCTGGCGGTGCTCTGGGGACCATATGGGATGCTGGGAATCGAACACATGTCGGCCACGTGCAAGGCAAACGCCCTACCCACTGTGCTATCTCTCCAGCCCCTTCACCCCACAAGTTTTGATTATGGTGTTTGCTAGCGTCACTGCAGTTCTGACACATGTGCTTGCCAGAGGTCACACTTCTATTTATCACAGCCCATTCCTGGTTGTGACTCTTGTTTTGTTTTGGTTTTGGGTCGCAAGCAGTGGTGCACTCCTGGCTCTGCGCTCAAGGATCACCCCTGGTGGTCTCAGAGGACCATATATGGTGTCAAGGATTAAACCAGGGTCAGCTGCAGGCAAGGCAAGGACCTTCCCTGCTGTACTATCTTGCTGGCCTAGTTAAAAAGGGCGGGGGGGGGGGGGGGTTTGGGGCCACACCTAGCTATGCTCAGGGCTAACTCCTGGCTCTGTGCTCACACATCACTTCCTTTTTATTTGGATGTTTTGTGAAAGAGGAGAGAGAGAGAGAGAGAGAGAGAGAGAGAGAGAGAGAGAGATCCTCAAGAGCAAACACAGGCTTCGCCAAAAGTGGAGAGGGAGGGAGCCCCAGTAAACATCCCAGCATCAGATATCTCAAGAGGGGAGATGCCGGCAACACATGTGCTCAGGCCCCACATGTGACATGTGTTCGGCAGCAACACATGGGCACAGGCAGCGTTTGCCTCAGGAATCACTTCTGACACTGCTTGGAGGACCATATGGGGTGCCAAGGATCAAACCTGGGTCGGTCCATGCAAGGCAATTTCCTTACCCACTGTACTGGCTCACTGACTCTCTAAAATAACTGTTCCGATCTTGCTCAGTGCATGTGGAACACCAGGGATTTAAACTTGCAGCAACAGTTTGTAAGGCTCCCTGGTCCCTGAGAAGTTATGTTCTGTTCGTTCTTGTCTTATCTAGGGGGCAGGTCCCCAAAGATTCTTGGTCCGGAAAAATGACAGTGAAAGAAGTTGTTGAACACCGTGAACTGGGGAGGGTCAGTGTCCCAGTAAGACAGGGAACGGCTGGTCTGAAAGAAGCAGAAGGGAAATACCTTCCCTAAAATTCTTTTGTTTTCTCAGTTTGTAATTTAGTTTAAGGCTTCACCTTGTAGTGAAGGTGAAGTCAGGGGACCCTGCAGAGCAGCAGGTCAAATCCAGGCTCCAGCCCACCGAGCATCTTCCCTCCCCTCCGCTCCCCTCCCGTCCCCTCCTTTCCCTTCCCCTCCTTTCCCCTTCCCTTCTCTTCGGGGCCCGAGGTTTCTTCTCCCTTTATTGATGCAGAATGGCGGGCAATCACGCTTGGTCGCAGCGAGAGCCCAGTGGGTCGCGACACTGTCTCAGAACACTTGGGTGAGCGGCCATCGGGAAGGGGCCGAGGGGTCCAAGTGGTGGCCGAGGCCAGCAAGGCGGCCGCTCCCCGCCGAGTCGCATCCCGGGGCGCCGTCCCCTCCCGGCCCCCGCGGCCCGCTAACGAGAGCGCGTCCTCCCAAGAACCGTGGCCGCGGGCTTCCCAACAAGTCGCTTTATTTGCCCTCTGGCGTCTGGCCAGCCGGCTCCCCCGGGCGGGCGCCTCTGCTTTCCTTCGCGGGGGGCGCTGGCGGGAGGACGGGCTGCCGCGTTCCGCTCACCTCCGACGGCGGCCCCCGCCCCCGGGTTTCTTGTCCCCTCGACGCCGCCGGGGCGGGGCGGGAGGGACCGCGGGGGTCGGGGCGGCCGGCGCGGGCCCCGGGGGCGGGCGGACCCCGCTGCCCTGGGCAGGTTTGTAGACCAGGTGGAAGATGAAGGCGTTGCAGTACCTGAGGGTGGCGGGGGAGACGCGCGTCAGGGCCCAGGCCAGGCATCCGGGGACCCCAAGGGCGAGACCCGAGGCCTGGACTCCAGCGGCCGAGCTGCGATTAGACGACGGGGCTGGGGCGGGGTCTCGGGGCTGGGGGCTGCGCAGCGTCCGTGAGCTGGCTGTGCAAGAGGCGCGCTGGGTCTGCTAAGACCTGCCCTCGGGTGCGTTGCGGGGACAGGGGGCAAGCCCAGGGCCGGATTGCGCGGGGTGGCCCAGGAGAACTACGGCCCCCACCCCCAGCCCAGCAGACCCTCGGGAGCGGAGCAGACCCTACCAGGGCATGCAGTTGTCCGCGGCTCTGAGTCGGAACGGGGAGCGGAAAGGATTGGGCTGCGGAGGGCTGGTGCCGCCGCCGGTGGCCACCGCCATGGTCTGGTCATCCATCACGCAGCCGTACTCACTGCTCTCGGTGAAGAAGGCCGGCACTCGGAGGGACTGGGGTGGAGGGGCGCCTCAGGGACCCTCCGGCGGGCTCCTTCCCCAGCACCCCCCGAACCGCAGGACTGAAAGCCAAGGTCCGTGGCGGACCCGGGTAGGGAGAGGCCCGAGGCAGACACAGGGAAGGACACGCGGGTGCGATTCCGGGTGGGTGGAGAAGACAGAGTCTTTTAGAACGGGGGCCACTAGCAGAGGGGGGAGAGGAGCTGGCCCCCACCTGTAACCTGGGCAGTGAGCTCAGCCACGTGTCCTTGAGACCAAAGCCGGAGTTGAATCCTGCAGAGCAGAAGGACTAGGAAGAAACTGGCTCCCAGGGCCTCTCCCTCCTGCCCCGCTCGCCGACCCCAGGCTCTTACCGATAACCACGTCAGGCTTGGGCCCCTGGAGCAGGTGGTAGGGCCGGACAGACACCTTGATCTGCAGGTCTCTGCGACCCCCCTTCTCTTTAGTCCCAGAGCTGAGGCGAGCTGAGGCAGGACCCGGCCGGACAGATACTTTGGGGCCGTCCTGAGGAGCCAGGAATGGACGGGGAAACCCCTGGAAGTTAGGATGCTGGAGCAGGCGCCCACCGGGCAAGAGAGGAGAAGGAATGAGCAGGGGCCCATCATGGGGAGAGGAGGGTGGTCACGCGGAAGAGCGGGGGGAGCCCTCAGCTCTTACTCTCTGCAGGGTGAAATGCTGCTGGTCACTCTCTGGGGGCAGGCCGTCACCTACGAACTGCAGCTCCAGGGCCACATGGGGGAGCAGGACCAAGAGCTCCTAAAGGACAGAGGGAAGGACAGGCCTGGGTCTCTCCCTGCATCCCCCTTCATCCCCAAATACTCAGGCAGTCCTCCAGCCCTGAAAGAACTTACCCAAAACACCATGATAAGGTCAAACTCCTTCCCAGCTTCTACCACATGGATTTTCAGTGACTGTTTGTTCTGGATGTTGAGCTCAGGGACTGGGTGAAAAGCTTGCTGCTTAAGGAGATGGTCTTCCCCTCCTCCACCCTTGGGTGCCCTACCAGCACCCTGTCCCCTCTTCTCCATGCATGTAGCCCTTCCCCCAACCCCTTACAGGACTGAGGCACCAGATGGGTGATGACATAGTACACCGTCAGTGGATAGGTGAGAAGCACAGCCATCGGGGAGTCCAAGCCAAGGCCCCTCCATGCGTAGTAATCCTGCCATGAGCCTGGGGAGAGTGGGTGATTGGGAGACCAGGCCCCAGGCCAGACCCAACCCTTCCCTCTAGCAATCTGGTCATTTCTTCAGCAATAGCACAGCCGGTAGGGTATTTGCCTTGCGTGTGGCTGACCCGGGTTCGATTCCTCTGCCCCTCTCAGAGAGCCCGACAAGCTACCGAGAGTATCCCGCCTGCATGGCAGAGCCTGGCAAGCTCCCTGTGGCGTATTTTGTATGCCAAAAACAGTAACAAGTCTCGCAATAGAGACATTACTGGTGCCCGCTGGAGCAAATCAATGAACAACAGGAAGACGGTGCTACAGTGCTATGGAGGTGCCTGACCCTCCAGTTCCTATTTCTATTTCTTGTTCCCTCCGAGTGTCTGCAACTCACCAAAGAGGCCCCTGGGTGGATCTGAGGGCACAGGAGGCATCAGGGGAGGCCCATCCCCCTGGAGAAGCTGATAGGGGTCTCCTGAGAGGGTGAAAGGAAGAACAGAGGCCTTGTAGCTGGGAGACCCCCGCCCTCCAACCCAACCCACACGTTGTTCTTCCAAGGAAGTTGAATGCCCTGGGGGAGAGCCTGGGGCAGTAGCAAGAGCAGCAGTAGGGGTGTCCCTGGGTGGGACAGGGCAGGGTTGAGGCTCTGAGGGCCAGGAAAGGCTTCGAGTGATCTCGGTGGTGGTGTGGAGCTTGGGATGTACGTGGAAGGGGACTCCATCCCCCCCCACCCCACTTCCCTCCACGTGGAAGAAGCCCATGCCTGAAGAAAGGCTTCACACACCACTGAGAAGAAGATTGAGAGATGGCATGCTGCCGCGGGGATGCCTGGGGGTTCCAGGGCCTGGAATCAGCATGCTGAGTTGGGTCCAGTAGCCACGAGTGAGGCCGCGGGAGGCCAAGAAGGCCTCCTTGTTAAAGGTTTCACTGGTCACTTCTGAAGAAGCAGAAAGGGAGGGGCTGAAGGCCTGGTGCCTAGAACTTAGATTTTAGTTCTTTTCAGTCTTTCCAAGGACTCTGAGTGTGAGTCTGGTTCCAGTTGGAGAGAGAAATACTATTTTGGAAGGCACTGAATTCACAGGATTCTCAGAAGAGCTCTGGGTTCAGTGTTTATTAGCCTTTTGATTTGACATTGGACAAAATGGGCTCTAAGCAGTGATGTATTCAAGGTTACACATGAGTGATGTGGTGGAAGAAGCTAATGTTGGAAATTCCTGAATTTCTGAAAGTCTCTCTGATGCTCACCCCCGTGCCTCAGAGATTCTGTTTTCAGCGCTGGCTATAGAGCTGCATCCACGAACACCGAACAGTCTGTCCTTATTCCAAGGTTTTACGTGATACCTCCAGATACTAGCCCTCAGCCCCAAGACTCTGTTCCCAGTGCCAGAGACTTGATCCCCTCTTTGTCCCCCAACCTCAGTTTTGTACCTGCAGTGTAGGTAAAAGGCAGAGTTGCCAGTTCTCCTGCCTTCTCCATGAAGGCCGCAAGCCTTGGGCACCAAAATCGATGGCTCACATCATCTGGGCATCGGCGCCAGTCAGCCCGGAGACAAGCCTCTCCACAGTACAAGACAGCACTACACTGGGGGCTGCAGTTAGAGATGGGCACCCAGCGTTAGTCTCTCTCATCCTTTCACGGGTGTGTGTGTGCCAGGAATTGAACCCAGGGCCTCACACCAGCCAGGAGAGCGTGCTCTACCACTAAGCTATATTCAAACCCAATCGAGTTCATCTCTGTAGGTCTTCTTTCTGCTGCCCCTCTGCCCTGCAGTTGCCAATATGTCCCGTAGTCTGTGTAAACAACATATTTTTTGTTTGTTTAGTTTTCTAGTGGGAGAGTGTGGTAAGCTTGGGAGTCATACCTGGTAGTTCTGGGGCTACTCCCAGCTCTGTGCTCAGTTGTCCTTCTCAGCAGTACTCAGGGGATGATGCAATGTGAGGAATTGAACCACTTGCTTTGCATGGAGCCAATAGCAGACCCCCCCCCTTTGGTCATTTTTATTTCTCTGTCCCTCAAAATTGTATCTGTCCAATGGTCTGCTCTCTCTGCCTGACTGTAAAGGCCTTCCACCCTTTCACCCCATCTTTGTAGACTACTTACCAGGGTGTCAGCTTCACTTCAAAGCTGTGCCTGTGACAAACATGGCAAGTTCGAGCCCGAAGGGAGGCAAAGGTGAAGCCTGGCCGGGGCCCCCAGGTCCGCATTGGGGTCTTGGCTAACTTTACTCCCAATCTTGGAATTAGACTCTCCAGATCTCTGAAGAGAGGGCAGGAGTGAAGATAGGGTCAGGCAAGGGTGGGGGGAGGGGCAGTGCTCATGGATCTAGACCCCTAGGCTTCCACCCCCTTACATATCAGATCCCTGTACCTATGTAGCTGGGCATCTCCCACAGTAAGCTGCCGGGGCTTCCTAGGGTCTCCGGAGCCCATGGGGCAGGCCATGCTGTGGCAGAGGAGAGCATAGGCCCGACGAGCCAGGTTCTCGGTCCCTGTGCCCCTGCCTGTATTGCCTGGGACTCCATCCATTAGCAGGTCAATGCCCAAGATGGTGCCATGTTCATCTGTCACCAATAAGAGGCAGGAAAGATGAAGGGGGGCAGCCTCTGGGGAAGAAATGAAAAGTTGGGGTGAGGATGGCAAACGTGGTCGGGGTGGAGGTATCAAATTCGAATGCCTACAAGGGTCTATGTAAGTAGTTAAGTGAAATTGTCTTTCTTTTTTTATTTTGTTTTGGGCCACACTTGGCTATGCTCAGGCGTTTCTTTTGGATCCGCACTCAGAAATCGCTCCTGGTAGGCTTTGGGGATCACATGGAATGATGGAGATTGTATGTGGGTCAGCCACGTACAAGGCAGGTGCCCTACCCACTGTACCATCTCTCCGATGCCTAAGTGAATTTTTTTGACAAGTAACATCAAATGACTAAAGAGGAGTTGGTAGAAAGGGTTGGCCTCCTTCAAAGGCAAGAACTGCTACATGTGCAAACATTTGCTGCCATGTAGAAATGTGGACCCACTGGCAGAATTTTAGTTTACTCCTGAGAAGGTATAAATCCCAGTTCCCCCTTTCATTGTTTAAATTAAAACTCAACCAATTCAAATATTGTGGGGCAGTGCAGATATACACTCTTCAGGATGAATGGCCCCAAGACTACCTGTCTGTGACTGGGCTGGGTTCTCAATGGGAAAAGGGTCTTCAAAGGGGAGTCACCTGGGCTGGCCCAGCAGGGTGAGCCCTCAGTTCTTACCACTTCTTCGTCCCTTCCTCTTCTCAAGCCCTGCTTCATCCTCAGTTCTGTCCTCTCGGCAGCCATTCTCAATACCTCCTGTTTGCTTTTCAGTCTCTTTGGACTCCCCTGATGGATTTGCTTCCTGCAGGCACTCTCTGTTGGTCGGGGCTGCCTCCCCATTCTTATCTGTTTCTGCCTTAGGGCCTTGACCCTCCTCTTCTCTGTTCTCTTCCTCCTCTTCCTCCTCCTCCTCCTCCTCCTCTCCTTCCTCCAGGCTGACAAAGCTAACATAGGGGGTTAGGTCTTGCAGGTGGAGTGGAGGCTCATCTCCCAAGAGCCGGGCAGCCCCCAGGCCTGATCCTAGGCCTGGCTCTGCCCCTTGGCCCAGGCTGATGCCCACACTGCGGTTGGGTAAGACATGGAGCACCCAAAGGGCAGGGTCCTGAGGTAGCCTTCTGATCTGAGCCTCCAGTTGTCGCCAACGGCCTTCAAAACTGCCCCCTACTGCCCCACGCTCTGACACAAACTTGCGGAACCAGCCAAAGAGAAGGGCAGCGAAATCGAGGAACTCATCCCGGTAACCAGACACAAATTCCATGTCTTCGGGGGCACAGGGCTTGGGCCCAGACTGTAGAAAGGAAGAGAAATATGGTGAGGGGGCTTGGGGTTGGGACACAAACAGGGGTTTGAAGGTTAGGGTGTGATCTAGAGATGAGTGTTAGGAGCTGGGAACAGGGTTTTCGGGAGGAGGGGAGTTCAAGCACGAGAATGGACTAGACTTGATAGCAGGTGTTTATGGTTAAAGAATCTATTCAGAAAAGAGGGGGTATTTAGGACTCAAAATTTGAGGCTCAAATCTTCAAACATCGACTAAGAATTGAAGATAGAGATGGGAAGGGGCTACACGAGCAGGAAGGATTCGGGGAGGGATGGGGAGAATTTTGGATCTGTCTCTGGCGTGTTGGAGAAGGGGCTAGGAGCCGCGGCATCCCTTTTTCTTGAATCGGTTTCGTGGTGACTCCCAAAGGATCTCCCCGCACCTCCGCTACTCCGGTACCTGCAGCCGCCACCACTTTTCGAAGGTAAATACCTCGTGGATGGGGGGTGGGCCGTGACGTGGTCGGCTGCCCGAGCCCGCGGCCGGGCCCTCCGTGGCCACGCCCCCGTGGTTGCAGGGACAGCGGCCCGAGGCCACCGTGGAGGTGGGGCTTGGCACGCGCACCTGCCGGCTAGCTCGTCTGGCGTCGGGCCACTGGACTCGAGGCCGCGGGCCCGGACCCTTGCGGGGAAGCGCGTGTGTCTTGCAGAGTGGGGTATGCGGAGAGCCGCTCCTCTGTGTCCGGGTGGAGTGGCCTGGAGCAGAGGTCTGCGGAGTGCGACTGGCTTTCCTCTAATGCACCGCGAGGATCCCCAGACCCGCCTCCCCAAGGCTGGCAGCCGACTTCCCTTTCAGTTTCATTCATTAGTCTGGGGACTGCCACTGTGGGATCCGCGGCGCGGCGCGGGTGGCGGAGCTCCGCCTCTGGGGGTTTCCCAGCGGCGCCCCCCGCCCGCCGCCCCGCCTTGCGGCGGTGCCACCGGCCGAGCCTGGGCCAGCGCCCGGAGCCAGGAGGGAGGGCGCCGCCACCTTGCGCTCCCTCCTGCGCCCACCACACCGGCTCCGCGTCTCCCCAGCCAGCGCCCTCCGGAGAAGCAGCGAGAGGAAGCGAAAGTCATCGAGAAACTCGCTTGATTCCACTCTCCGGAACTGCTGGAATCAGTCTGCTCCCAGCGGCACCGAGATGGTACCCGGCGGGAGTCCCAGCGCCTACGGGCCCAGCCTCCTCCTGCTAATGCTGCTGATCCTTCCAGGTTCGTCCGGGGGCCGGGCTGGTGGTCCTGATCCCTGAATCCTGGGAAGCGGATAAGGCCGCAGGTTGAGTTGCGTTAAGTGGGTACAAGCTCACCAGGGTCCTCAAGTCAGGAGGACCAACTAACTCCCTGAGGTTGGAGGCAGACGTCAGTCCTGTGGAATGATGGATGGCTTTGGGGGAATGTGTCATGTGGGCTAATCTGGGGGTCGATCCCCAGGTCTAGGCAGAGATTGTTTCGGGCTGTGTATGGAGGCTAAGTAATAGTTCCCCTTGGCCTGGGAGTCAGCTGACCGCCTCTATCCCGCTCAGGCAATTGCAACGAGGGCAGCAAAGCTGGAAGATGTCCCTGCAGGAATAAGTTTTCTTCCAACTCTCCGCCAACGGCTAAACAGTTGGAGATTTTGCGAAATAAACTGGACACGTACGATCAATGCTTTCCCTATGTCAGGTAGAACCAGCTGTTCTGTGGAACCCTTTCCTCCGTGTGGCGCCCCCACGACCCTCACAAAGTAGAGAAATTCTCACTTTCCCTTCCGGTCCCACCTCCCTGGACTTTCCCAAGCCCAGAGACACTCCAGGTGGGCGGTGACTCACGGCTCTGGAATGAGGAAAAGAGGTGGGGCCGCAGGAGTGGTGGCTGAGGCTCCTCTAACTCCGCAGGTTCCATCTTCGTACCAGTCCCCAGCTCAGGTGGAACGTGTGTGGGGGCAGCCAGGACCCATGGGTGCTGGACTTGATTAGCTGCTATGAAAAAAAAGGTGAGCAATGTTCTCCTCCTCCCCAGGTTCTGTCTCGAGGAGTCAGCTACCTCACCTCCTTACCTCAGCCCCTTTCCCCTGTGACACTTCACATCCCTAAAAATCCCTAGAACGTCTGATGTTGGCCAAAGTACTTTCACGGAAGTTCTCCTTTTCCAGACATCGGTCATCAATGTCATAAAAACTGCCAATTCATCCTATCACCTGTGCTTTTATTTTTTCAAAATTTTTCTTGAAACCAAGACACTATTTTTACTTTCCAAAAATATGTCCACCATCTAGGTAAAGGTAAAGGTAAAGGCCCTCCCGTTGATCGTCGATTTGCTCGAGCGGGCCCAGTAACGTCTCCATTGGAGACTTTGTTGTTACTGTGTTTGGCATATCAAATACTCTCGGTAGCTTGCCGGGTCCACCATCTAGTTTCTACAATATTTTCTACCCTTAATAGTTTATATGTGTACATAATAGAGCAAATATCTTTTTATTTGCAGTAGCTTTGATTACAGTAGTTTATAGTAAGTCACAATTTGCATTCTATAGACATTTGCACGACTGAGCATCCATCTGCTCAGCCAACCCGTCAGCATCAGCCTATTTTTCAATGCATTTCCAAGTGAGCTGCTGGCGTGACTATTTCATCCCCAAGCATTTTGGCATATAGAAATTAGTTTTGTTTTGTTTTGGGCCATACCAGTGATTAAGGCTTACTCCAGGCTCTGCACACAGGGCTCACTCCTGGCATTGCTTAGAGGAACATATTAGGTGGCCGGAATCAAACCCGTGTCAACTGAATGCTAACCCACCTTACCCACTGTACTCTCTTCAACTCCAGCATGTATTTATTATAGGCATCATTATTATTTTTTTAGAATATTTGTGGTTTGTTTTTTGATTTGGGGGCAACACCTGGCTTTTTTTTTTTTTTTTTTTTTTGCTTTTTGGGTCACACCTGGCGATGCACAGGAGTTACTCCTGGCTCTGAACTCAGGAGTTACTCCTGGCGGTGCTCAGGGGACCATATGGGATGCTGGGAATCAAATCCGGGTCGGCCGCGTGCAAGGCAAACGCCCTACCCGCTGTGCTATCTCTCCAGCCCCAACACCAGGCTTTTCTAAGAGCTTATTCTTGGCTTAGGGATCATCCTGTCTAGCTTGGGGGACCATACAGGGTGCCAGGCTATCAAAACTGGGTTGGCTGCCTGCAAAGAATGCATCTTACCTGTTGTTCTATCTCACCAGCCTCCAGTTACTTTTGAAAAACTTAGTTTAGTAGCAATTTCTATTCAGTACTTGTGAAGTCACAAATTTAATGTGTAGTCCATTTTTTTTCTTCTAAAGTCACTAAAATTTTATTTTGTGTTTCACCTAAAGTTGTCTTCTCTAACATTAGTTTTGTTTGTTTGTTTGTTTGGTTTTTTCTTTTGAATCACACCTGGCAATGCTCAGGGCTACTCCTTGCTCTGCACTCAGGAATTACTCCTGGTGGTGCTCAGGGTACCATATGAGATGCCAGGGATCGAACCCAAGCTGGCCTCGTGCAAGGCAAATGCTCCTACCTGCTGTACTACTGCTCCAGCCCCTGCTCTAACATTAGTGGGATACATACTAGCCTTTAGATTGCAAAGGTCCACATAATGTCTTCCCAGTTACCTTGACCTTTGGCACTAAAACTATCCACGGGGCTGGAGAGTACAGGGATTAAGACATTTACTGACCCTGGTTTGAATGCCTGCCGGGCCCCCCATGCCCTTCTGGCCCCAGCACTCCAGAGCACAGAGCCAGAAACATGTTCCCTCTAGACCATCTACTCCTGGCCCCCACCAGATAAAATAAAAATAAAAGTATCTCCATTTTACAGTTGAAAGAAATGAGGAAATGAGACTTGAGATAGCTGACCCCAGGGGGCAGGCTCAGAATGGCGACTTTGTGGCAGAGCCAGGGTTCCAGCCAACCCAGGTCTCCTAACCAATCCAGTTCAGAAAGCAATCTGGGGAAGAGGAGAGAGGACAGTGGGCCGAGCGCAAACTTGGTATGTGGGAATGCCGGGTGACACCTCATTATCCCTCCCCCCCAACTCTCACTGGATATAGTCCCAAACCCACCCAACCAAAGCAAGCACAGCTATGCCAGTGGTTCCACATGACAGCTTGTTCTTTTTTTCCACCTTCTCCCTCCACACTTGCCTTTTTCTCCTGTCCCTTGTCTCCTGTTTTCTTTGACCCACTACTTTCCCTCTACTTGTTCGTTCGTAGCCCTGATTCCTCACGTCTTGCTTTTTCAGAGTGTGGATATGCTCACTCCCAATCCCAGAGCATGGCTGCCCAGCAACATTTACCCCCATCCAACAATCAGGCTCCTGAGTCCACAGAAAAGATGCCTTGGAATACCAGCACTCCTACCCAGACTGCCCCCTCACCCACCCTGCAGTCTACTCAGCAGCCCACCCTGCCAGCAGCAACACCATCCATCGACAAAAATTTCACTCACAACAATGAAACCACAACTTCCACGGTGGGTCCAAGTCTGCAGGAAGCACTTGAAATTAGGGAGCAAGAAAAAGGAAATAAGGGCTCTGCAGCCAGGGAGTCAACTTTAGTGGCAGTGCCATCCCTGTTGGTAATTGTCTTCCTCCTCATGTTGATAATTGTCTTCCTCCTCCTATACATGCAACGCAAGAAGAGAACAACGCACAACTCTCCAGGTAAGCTGGTCTTCTTCCGACCCCCTTCCGCAGAAACCCAGAGACCCCCTGACAAGCATGCCACTACTAGCTTTTCAGGTGGCTCAAAAATTGTTCTAGTTAATATGAGACTAACTGCACCAGACTATAGGCAGAGGGAAAAGTCAGCCAGAGACTAAAAGTGGTGAGAGAAGGAAGGTACCATAGTTTCTGGGACCAGTGCTTGGAGCAGCTACAGTAGGGTAGTGGGAAATAAAGCTACGGAGGAAGGTAGAAGCCATTCATTCAATTCACAAATCTCTGAGTTTTTTTGGGGGGGACGGGGGTGGGACTGTACTCGGGGTTTACTTCTGGCTGTGTTCAGGAATCACTCTTGGCCGGGTTCAGGGGACCATATGTGATACCTGGGATCAAACTGGAGTCTGCCTTGTGCAAGGCAACCCCCCCACCCCACCTCTGTATGAACTTTCTGCCCCCCTCTCCCACAGCCCCCTCTATGAGACTTTCCTAGTTCAAGTTATCATATTCTTTCTCCTCTCAGAGCTTACTTCGGACTCAGTACTCAGGAATCACTCCTGATGGGCTCAGGGGACCATATAGGGTGCCAGGGTTCAAACCCGGGCTGGTTACATGCAAAGCAAGCACCCTATTCACCATACTATGGCTCCAGTCCCTAGAGTTCATCTCTTAACTTCTCTCTTTTTCAGAATCCCCTTGGCACCAGATTCCACTGCTTAAACAAAGAATGGAAACCTGTGAGGCTAGCTGATGATTTGTTCAATACCACGGGCATTAAATTCTTCAATCTGAAAATGTCACAAAATGTTATGCTAGAATCAACTATCCTGGTTTTTTTTTCTCTTTTGCGTTATCATGTCAAATATTCCTTTACGAAATAATAATTCTTTGGAGAAATTCTTCTTAACTTATTTAAGTTATTAATTTATTTATGTTTGTGGCCCACTTCTGACCATGGTGGGGTGATGTTTGGGTCTGTAGTGTTAGGGAGTACCCAGGGACGTACCACACTGTGCCTGGGTGAGGCATGTGGTCCAGGGAATCACTTAGGACTTCACCACATGTGGGGCATGTACTCGACCATTTGAATTATTGACTCCTTCTGCCGAGACTGGTCTCGTTCCCTTGCCCCTTACCATGATTTCTGGTACCAGCTTCTCAGCTGGTGATTCCCCTTTGTTCCAAGACTCTCTATGATACACCAGCTATTCCTTCCAAGTTCTGAAACTCTCCTACCCCAGCCCCAAGGTGAAAAACTGTTTTTTGATACCCTTGTTCCTTAATAGCTGCCGAACAGTCTTGTTTGGCTACCTTGAATCCAGTGACACATGCCCCAGTGACTATGTGAGCTCCTTGTTTTTACTGTTATTGCTTTTATTATTAAAACCCTTGGTTTTCTTCCAATGATGAATGTGAGGAAGTAGTTGTGTTGTCTGTATCTTCCTCTCCCGATTGAGCATGTCCGTGAAGTGCAAAACGGAAGGAGTCTGGTGAAGGAGCCAGGGCGCAGTTCTGAGCAACTTGGCCTTTGTTCCCCCTTTCCACCTTCTGTCCTCATTTACGCTGATGAGCTGCGCATGGACATGGTAGCCCTACTCCCCATCACACAGGTCTCCGGGTTCTGTCCTGGGGTGAAGGTGGCACACCAAATTCTTGCTCTGCCTCTGTGGTCTAGCTTTCCAGCATCTGCTCACAGGTTCGGGCCACGTCACTGAGCTTGAGGCAAGCATAGTCCACACGCTTCAGGGCCATCTGACAATCCTTTCTTGAAGAATAGCTGGAGCCCTCATGGGGCTGCCCCGTGGCCACCTACAGGACAGTCAAATTTATCAGTGAAGCATCACTTTGTTTACCCATCAGGTCTTTTGTCTCATTTCTTCCCTGAGTTTAAATCACTTACGCTACTTACCTGGTGGATGGATGACCTAGGGCAAATTACTTAACTTCTGTTAAGCTCATTCATAAGATGGGGGTGACAGTCATTGTTTTTTTTTTCTTTTTTGGGGTCACACCTGGCGATGCCCAGGGGGGTTACTCCTGGCTCTGCACTCAGAAACTACTCTTGGTGGTGCTTGGGGGACCAAACGGAACGCTGGGGATTGAATTTGGGTCAGCCGCGTGCAAGGCAAACGCCCTACCCACTGTACTATAGTTCCAGTCCCGGTAATTCTGTTCTTGAGTTGTAAGATTCAGGATGATAATGCAGTATCCAGTACATTATAAAATATTGATAAATGGTAGTTATATAAGTGTTGTTTTAATGACTCCTGAACGTTCTCCATCCAGTTCCTTTTCTCAGAATGTAGACTTCTGGGGTTCTGTGGGTTTTTTTGTTTGTTTGTTTTTGTTTTGCCACACCCAGAGCGGCTCAGGACTTAATCCTGGCTCTGTGCACAGGGATCACTCCTGGTGGGCCCAGTGACCCACAGGGATGCCGCAGATCAAACCCAGGAAGGGCATGTGCAAGGCAAGCGCCCCTACCCACTGTACTCCCCTACCCATTGTACTATCGCTCTATCCCGGGGACTGTGAGTTGCCTGCCTCTGCTGTCGGAATAAATTTCTGACTACAAAGTCTCTGGTTTGGGCATCTCCCGGAAGTTCCCCGTCCAGTGGTTCCAGTCATTCCCCAGTGGAGCAGAAAGAAAACAGCCCGGGAGAGACTGGCCACGCCTGCAGCGAGAGCGGGGTCGGGTTGGGGTAGGGAGGTTAGTGGCAACAGATCCAAAGGGCAACCCTTAACCCCCCGGGCTAAGGTGCAGAACCTCGAGCGTGTCGGACAGACCTGGGTGAGGTAACGGATCTGGGCCGACAGTTCTGCCTCCACGTGCTGCACCGACGCCATGAAGGCTGCTGCCTGCCGGTCCAGAAGCCGCTCGTTGGTTTTTTCTTTGGACAGTTCCAAGATCACGGTACCTGCCAAGGGAAGCGGGCGGCTGCCGCGGCCAGTCCAGTCCCTCCCGGGCCCGACCTTCCCCGCCGGAGCTCCCGCGAGTGCCCGGAGCCCCGGCCCACTCCCGCCGCCCCCCAGCTCTCCGCTGTCGCCCCCCGAACCCGCATTCTGAAGAATGGCGCCGATCTCCCGTTCGATGTCTTCCAGGGCGCGCAGCCGTTCGTTCGCCAAGCTGTAGGTGGCCATGGGCGTCCGCGCGGCTCGCTCGGACGCGGCGACGCGGACTCGCGGGGACGGAAGCGGCCGCCGGTCTGCGCCTGCGCGGGGCGTTCCCGAGCGCGGAGACCACAGTTCCCGAGATGCCCCGCGCGCGCCCGCCTCGCGCCGTCCCGGCGAGCCAGGGCTGCCCGGTGCTCCGCGCGCGCCCGGTCTGCGCTCGGCCCCCCGAGACCGCCTGCGGCGAAGGGCGCTCGAGACGCGCCCTAGCCGGGGACCCAGAGACCCGTGCACGACGCGGCCTTGCGGTCCTCGCTCGATTTCTCCGGCCAGAGTTCACGGAGCGTCTGCGGAGTGCCAGCGACGACGACGGGAGCGCTGCGGTCCCCTAAACGGGACGGCTCCGGACCCCCTGCCTGCCCGCCGCACGCCGCCGTCGCTTGGGTCCGGAGAAGCTTGACTCGGTGAGTGCTCGGTACTCGCCTTAGCGCCGCGCCTTCGACGGGACTCCGTCCGGAACACAGGCGAGCCACGCATCTCACCTGCTCCACGCCCGCCGGTCCCGGTGCCCAGAGTGCGGCGGGTGCCGCGAGACCGAGAGCAACGCGCCGAGATAAACAGTAGCGGGGGCATACATGGTTGTTAGAGAGATGCCCCGATGTGACGCTCGGAGCACTTAGAAAATCCTGGCAGGAAGTGCTGCCTGAACTGAATTCTAAAGGGTTAACATGGGGGGGGGGGCGGGGAGGAGAGGGTGCTTTCCTGGTTGCTGCCGAGCGGAGTTAGATCCTGGCATCCCAGTCTACAAGGTGCCCGCCAGGAGCACCGCCAGGAGCGCACCGCCCTGAGCGCAGAGCAAGAGTGACTAAGCTCTGATCCGAGTCGCCGGGCTGTGCGCCCCTCCCCTTCCCGCCTCCCCCTCCCGGGCATCCGTCAAGGCAAATACGTCGTGCCGAGAAGGGCCTGTCCATCTGAAACGCTGCAGGGGCTTCAGCGGGACTGGAATGAATGGGATGCGCTGGTGGATGGTAGGTGTCACAGGAATCTGGAGCTAATCAGGAAAAGGCTTGCAGACTAAATTGGACTTCGTAATAGACATTTTGCAGCTATTGAAGACTTTTCCAAGAAGTATATTATGACGATTCTACCTTCTAGGAAAGATCAGTTGACAACTAATGGGCGAAATGCAAACAAGTTGCACAGGGAGAGTGAATGAAGGGAGACTTTCAGTTTAACTTGAGGGTTCTGTCATTTGCCTTCGCTTCCTTCCTAAATCCTAATAAAACAACGATAAAGAGATTTTCTAATAGGATTAAAGGGGAGAAAAAGAAGCTAATAGTGAATCTGAGAGGTAGTGCAGCAGGTAGAGCACTTGCCTTGCGTGCTGTTAACCCGGTTCCAGCCCCCAGGACCCCATATGGTTCTCGGAGAGTCTTGCCCGGAGTGATGATCCCTGAGTGCAGAGTCTGGAGTAATCTCTGAGCACAGCCAGGGATGTCCCCTCCCCATCCCACCCCCCGCCCCAAGTTAATAGCAAAATTTTATACTGAAACTAAAAAACAGAAGAATAAGTGGTTGCTAACTACGTCAATAGTGAGGAAAACTTAGAAGTAACTTGATTTATCTTAAATTGTGGTATCAGGTACCATTGTGGTGTAGGTGATATTTATTTTGGAGTTCAGTGCTAAGGGCTCAAAGTGGTGACTGGGATGAACCCAGCTATTTTGCACACCAGAGGCTTAATTTCAGTCTCCTGCATGCATGAAGAGCAGGGGCCAGGAGTAGCTCCTGAGAGCATCTGGGTGTGGCCCCAAACAAATAAAATTAGGATTCTTTAAAGTAATTAGACTAATCTCCTTTACTTCGGCAATTACTCTCCTCTAACTCATCGCTTACTAGAGGGTTTGTTGTTATTATTGAAGAGGGAAAACAGTCTTTGGTATGGGAAGCACCTGAGCATAGTTGTAATGAGAACAGATTAATTAAAAAATTTATTTACTAAGTGGTGGTTTCTAGAACTCTGGTAATCAGGGTTATACTTTTCAGGCCAAAGATGGAGACTCTTAGCTGGGGCCTTTTATTAGTTAGAAAAAAAGGTTCAAAAGAAAATGACCACCCCATATGGAAACCCAGAGTTGGTAAGCCCCAGATCTGTTCACAGATCTCTAGTCAGTCATCTTCTTAGCACCTCACTTGTAAATACCTTAAAAGTAACTTTTCCTGCTTGCTTTTCAAGCCCAGTGTTCTCCTTCAAATGCTTATCTAGCTTCCTTGTATCTGTGTTTCTTTGCTTGTTTTTTTTTTTCTTTTTCCAATTCTGGAGAACCTGTGTTCTTTCTTAAACCATACTTCTCTTTGTCCTCATACATCTTTTTTTTTTAATTTTTAAATTTTTTAAAAATTTGTAATGAAACACTGTGAGATAGAATTACAGACTTACACACTTTCATGTTTACATTTCAGTTGTACGTACAATGGTCGAGTACCCACCCCTCCACCACTGTCCATTCTCCACCACCTATGTTCCTTCCCAGTAACACCATCCCCCCCACCCCCGCCTCTGTGGCAGGCACATTCCCTTTTTCTCTCCCTCACTTTCTCTCCTTTTGGGTGTTATGGTTTGCAATTCAGGTAATACATGGCCATCATGTTTGGTCTGGCACTTCCAGATTCATTAAGTTCCCAACATCCACATGAAACATCAGAACACTAGGCTAAAAAAACAAGTCTTGTCAAAACTTTCCGTGGAGAACACAGACTGCATGCTCCTCTAGCAATTAGAAGTCAGAGTGGTGCTGGGCCTGTAGTTAGAGCTAGAAGACAATAGGGCATTGTCTTAATACTTTGGGGGAAAGTGATTAACAATCTAGAATTTTGTCCTGAAGCTGTAGTAGGATGACTGCTAAAAACGCAATGTTTGGAGGCTGGAGAGATAGCTCAAGTGGTAGTGCACATCTGTTGTGTTAGATCCCTTGAATTAGATCTCTGGCATCAGATACCCTCCTGAGTGCTTCTGGGTGTGTCTCCGATGTTCTCCAGAAGCACTGGACCAAAGACTGCAGGGTATATAGCCCAATGACTCAACAAAATAGAAGTTAAAATTTCTCATAGAACAGTTAATTCAATGTGTTTCACAAATCATACAGCAGTAAGCTCTGCCATCCTTTTGGGTCTTGACTCAAAACTGAATTGCAGACCGGCAGCAAGGATGTCACTTAGGGTAGGGCTTCTTCAACACTTTCCACTCTCCTTTTCCTAAGAAATGTGACATGGGCAAGTGCTGCCAGAAACATCTTGGATTTATTGTGTGCTTAAATTTTTTTAGTGTTTGGGCCACATGTGGTTCTGTGCTCAGGGGACCGTATGCGATGCTGGAATTCAAACTTGCTTCAGGACCACAAACTTGGAGGCAATTGCCTTAAACTTTGTACTATCTCTCTGGTCCTTGAATTAATTTTTGGCCATCATTTATTCATAAACCTTTTGGTATTGCCAATTTTTTGTGTTCCTTTCCTTATTCTATACATGATCCCATAAGGGGTTGTGACCCACACTTCAAGAAACTAGGAGTGGGCTAGAGAGATGTTATAGCGGGGAGAGTTTTGCCTTTCCTGTGACTGATCTGGGTTGAATCTCTAGCACCTCATATGATTCCCTGAGCTCCACCAAGAGTGATTCCCAAGTGAAGAGCCAGGAGTAAGCCCTGTGTGCTGTGGGTATGGGCCAAACTGCTAACCCCCTGTGCTCCTCCCCCTGCCCCCACCAAGAAGCTAGAAGGTAAAGGTAAAGGTAAAGGCCCTCCCGTTGATCGTCAATTTGCTCGAGCGGGCCCAGTAACGTCTCCATTGGAGACTTTGTTGTTACTGTGTCTGGCATATCGAATACTCTCGGTAGCTTGCCGGGCTCTCCGAGAGGGGCGGAGGAATCGAACTCGGGTTGGCCATGTTGACCGCTTGTAAGGCGAACGCCCTACCGCTATGCTATCGCTCCAGCCCAAGAAGCTAGAAACATTCTAGAAATAGAATCTCTAGCTCCACCTCAGGCCCACCGAGTGAGTATCTATTCAAAGGTTACTAGGTGATACACATGCAGTGAAATTTGAAGAACTCTTTGAGCGTAGTGTTGCTCGGCCTCTTTTGCATGGTAGCCCCTCCTGCCATTGTTTCCTTCCTAGGCCCCCATCCTACTGTTGGCCTTCTAATCTTGTGCTATACCCTCACCCCCACCATATGCGATTGTCACCTTTAGTTCCCTTGAAATACCGGGGGGCAGGGTGTATGTAGCTCCCAGTTTTAGAGCTACTGTTCTTGGGCATCGTTGTCTGTAGGGACAAAACTGGGTTGCTGCCATTCATGGACAGCGGTTGGCAGAAACGGGCAAGAAAAAAGGCAGAGGCAGACTTAGCGCAGAAGCCTGGCCAAGAAGCTGCCCATAAATCACATATATGGTCTCCCCTGCCTTTAAGATTCTGAGAAATCTAGTCCTGACCTAGAGAGCTAGCCACTGTTCTAGCACCAGGAAAGACAAGATTTTAAGGAATATCTAGACTCACAATCGCCAAATAGAGATTAAAGACATTCGATATGTACAGAGATCACATTTCTCTCCCAAGTAGACTTTTTCAAGATGGTGTTGGAGTTGAATGCAGAAGAGGGAAGAAAGGGATACAGGAACTAAGGTCTTCAGTTTGTCAGAGTGGACAGGAGTGCTGGGTTTATGCGTGAAGGAAAATGCAGGCCAGGCATGAAGAGCATCCACTTCCAAACAAAGCAAATTGGAAGCTATTTCTCCAAGGAGATTAATGAAACTTTTGTTCTGCATACATTGAGAGGAAATATAGTCTTGGGTGGAGGGAACTCCACTCAGCAGAGTGGTGCTTAGGGGATACTCATGACTGTTCTTGGGTGTTGCTCCTGGTAGAGCTCAGGGGACCAGGTGGAATTGGCATTGAACTTGAACATCCTGCACAAAGCAGGTGCTCAGCCTTTTGAGCTGTCTCTCTGGCTTGAGATACAGATTTTTGGAAGACAGTTTAGAATTGACTTAGAGATAAATTAAGAGAATAAAAAAA